GACATGATCCATTCTAACATGGTTACATTGAAATACATGCTAAAGGCACAAATAGGTATAACTATACCAAGTATTTCACAAGAACTAAGCTCAAACAAATACACACATAAGGGAATGTCTTACTTGTATTGGGGTATTTTGTTATTGTTAGGTTGGTACTCTTACTGGAATAAAGGATGGATCTATTAATCCAGCACTGACCACAAGCAACCTCTTTCACAAACACATCCCTGTTATTTGATTCCACTTTTAAATTGAATCAAATATCAATGGATCAAGAACTAAAATATTAAATAGGTCAAGAGGAACCTGTTGGCTTTGTGTTCAGCTGCGTAGTTGTTCTAATGGGATCAGTAAGCTGAGGAGTTTCTTGGTGCCGTTGCAGGAATTAGGGCTTTAGGCTAGAATGAAATGTAGCTCTGCTCTTGTAATGGTGTAACCAATTATCACTTCTCTTGTTATGTGCCTCTACACCAACTCCGTGCAAATCATTCAGCTTCCACAGGTTTTTTTAGTGTGCAGCCTGTGATGCAACATTGCCTCGGAAATGGTGCAAGGGAGAGATAATATAGAAATATGGCATATAGCTGCTAAAAAGGCCACACTGGATGGTGTAGGTAGGCACACAAAACAATCCCAGAGGCTGTCTTTGCACCGATGAAGAACCTAATCCAGTAATGCTTTGTGAGGCTACGTCAGCAACAACCTTCTAGCGTCTCTGTGAGGGCGTTTTTTGACACGCTGCTTTGATCCAAATGCTAGGATTATTTATACAATGATATAGGAAATATGCATGCTAATGTGGATTTTAAGCATATGTAATGTTTGCATCTTGTAATATGCTAATATTTGCTATTAGCTCAGTTCAATCAAGGCTGATGGAAATGTTATAGGTTTAGCACGTATTTGGTCATAATTCATTAACACATATTGTACGTTTGACCTGGTAGTGGCTGTAGAGAAAAAGTTAAGGAATCCCCAACAACAATTCATGAATGTTTCTACCGAACTTCATAAAAAAACGTTCACTCGTTGTTTAGAAATTGACTGCCTTCATGTAAACGTCCTGGCTGCGCTCAATGATCAACAAAGTAAACAGGTGTCATTCTTTGGGAACAGGGACCGTTAATGTCTTTTTAAAATTCATCCCCTAGTCTTTGAAATATTTCAGTCTGGACCAGTGTTTGATCAACCAACATTGCCTCCCTGCAGCCATGCCGCTTGGATGACAATACATTAATATTGGTTTAAGCAGCACCATAAACGACATTATTGAATATCACTGACACAGTAGCACATGCATAAAGCATCTCCTTTACCATCACAAGTCTTTTTTAATCGTATTACGAACATACATATATTTGATCACAGCTCACGTTTTCTTTTAGTGGCTGAAAGTGACAGAACATAACAAGGGAAGTGCCATCACCACATGTTACATTACAGCTGGTAGGAGAAAGGACACAAGCTGAACACAGAGTAAGCATAACAAGACAAGAGGATGTCTGAGAAAAGTGGCCAAGTGTAACAATGTAAACGTGTATACTTTGAAGCATTTTGCGTGTGTCAAATCCTATTATATCCATCCACATTCTACTCACTGCAGCCAATAACAGTCTCAGAGGAACAATACAGATAAAAGGCAAAAACAAAGTATCACTGCATGTATTCTGCTGTTGCAAGGAAATGTGAAATATATATGCATTTGATTAATGAGGCATTCATGTTCCATGTGCCCCACAGTGAAAAAGACTGAGACCAGTTTTAGACGTGGACATCTGGCTGGTTCATCCTCCTTTGAAAACACAGAAAGTGGCCTGCATTCATAATCAGTGCAGAGGTAAGATAAAGAGCCTGTTCTCTGGTGTGCAGCAGTCCACATTTATTAAAGTTTTTTTTGGAAGCAACCTGCTTGCCTCTTAAAAAAAAAAAATTAAAAAGAGACATAAAGTATAGCTGGTTGTGGACCTTTTTAGAAACAAGCACTGTCTATGTTTTTGAGCACATATTCCAAGTGTCCAATTATAATGAAATAAGGTTATTACTGGGTTTGGTGGCATCAGGCCTGCACCGAGGCTGTGTATGTGGGTGTCACACGTCTTAAAAGATGTATAAGTATCTGCCACAGCTGGATGCCTCCACTCCTGGCTGATGACTGTTTTGACAGTTCAGTAATAGCCCCTATTGACAGTCAAAGCAGCCCTTCACTATTGGGAGCAATTCAGCTTGTACTATTCACAGTAAAATACCCCTTTCACAGTAATTAGATTCTTGAATACGATGATTTCAAATCCCTTGGAGCCCAGCTGAACTATGGGAAAACAATTAATCTGGAAAGACGAGTGCATGCTTTAATTGAAGCCCGATGGAGTGTTTTGCTTTGGAGAGGGGCATCTTTTAAAGCATCAACGAGTACCCCCTTTACATCTGGGTAATTTGTAAGATCGCTTCAGGATAATTTGCAGATTGAGTGAGTTATACAGACAACCCTTTAACATGCTATCAGCACTTCAAAGCTACCCAGAAATGTGCAGCTTTAAGTACTATACAATAATGTGTAAATATTAGATAACACTTCTATGATATTTCTATTTAGAAGTATGTGTATCAATCTGAATGAGCAAAAAATATATAATGTATGTAGTTAATGCAGTGTTTAGGCCTCTCAATATCAGTGAAGTGCTCGCCGTGAGAAGGTTGAAATAAAACACTGGATAGCAAATGGCATCCGGATAGTAACTTCACTTATTCTACTCTGCCTACACACTGAGGTTGATTCCCGAAATCAGCGGCATGGTTACATAACCAGGGTCACATGTGGACCTAAAAAGCCCTTGAATAGAAAATGCTCAAATCCTGTCCTCTATGTTTTAACCCGTCTGCTAATCATATCAAAAACATTAAATCCCGACCCAGCTGTGTGTTCTGTGTCAGAGAGAAGAACCAGATTAGAGGGATTTAAATACACTGTAATTGACAAAGCACCTGATTTTTATCCTCGTGGTAATCTCCTCAAACCTAACCCCAAATCGTCACACAATGTGATGTCTCTAATACACTTTCTGAAAAAGAACGGGTCATGCCACTGATACAAGATGTTATATCACACGCACATATCGGCATGTTGCATAACCTTTGTTCAGCAGTTTGAATGTTGCTTACCACAGCGAAACAACTTTGTTAAATATACCAAGTCAGGAGCTGTGTGATTAAACAGAGTGATGCATCACAATACACTCTAACGGATTTTGGCTTAATCCCTGAGAGTTTAATTGTGATGAAACTTGCGCTGTGAAAGAACTCGTCTGTCCCACTTGCATGCACGGCTCGCCATTTGATTTTAGATTTCCCTCGTTTTTTCTCTGAATTCACATTCAAGTTGCACAACAGTATTAGTCCCCTCAGGCTTGAAAGAAGTCAAGTTTTAATTAAGGATTTAGAAATAATCAAAGGCTCCTACTCTAACGACATACTCTCCTTTTGTGAGATGGGCGGTTACTGACAACTGTTCTTTGACATTATATGAAGGATTACATCTAATCCTATTCAATCTTGGTGCAATCCTTAGTCCCACCCGGTGTTTGCATTACGATTAAACTACAATCTCAAAACATTGTGTTTGCATGGGTTTAAAGAAATTGATTTGTTTCTTTTGAGGCCAGTGTTTTTTCTCATTGGATTTTTTAAATCCCTACATCCTCGACCACCCGTAAGCTCTCTTTGGTCTTTCATGTCATCAAATGAATGTTCTCGTCTCACACACTTATGTTCTTTCACAGCAGTGCATGCAAGGCCTTCTTCAACATCTTTCGTTGTTGGCATTGCAGTGTGTAATTCTGTCATTTGAAGCATGATACAATTAATTTAAATAAAACAAATACAAAGCTTTTCAAAGTAATGCCCCCTTCAGGGTTTTGCGTCAGACCTGCTTGAAGTAGGCTATTTGTTACTTCAGTTCAAATGTTGTGCTTTCGTTTGTTCTGCATAGTTCAAAGTGCTCTGCTGTGTTTGATCAAAGAGATGCAGTCTTTGAAAGCATTCCAATTGCTGTTTGTTTTTGGTTTGTTGACACTCCTGATTCCTGTACTTATTTGCCAGATAAGCAGAGTGCTGATAGAGAGTCATTGTATTTGGCTGGCAGATTAATGCAACAGGTGCAGATGGGAAATGTATATGTATGATGGATCACTGCAGGATGCACCTCTGTTTTCTGCTAGATAAGATGTTCAAATGTTTATTGAATGCTATGGCTTCAGCACAGAAATGTTTATTCCTAGCTGTATCTTAGTTCCTTTTTCTTTTTCTGAAATTGCTTATAAAAAGCTATATCACCAGGGCAGGTAACTGATCTGAAGGGAACACATCTTTTATTAGGAAGTCAGGCAACAGAAGTTTTAACGAGTTGGAAAGAGTTTTGGGTTTAGAAGTATTGCTGTATATTACATTTATCTTCAGCAAGTGCCTATCTCTGCCACACTAATTATGGAACCCTTCAACTCAACCCAGATACACAGGCTGCACTTCCTTCCTGCAGTTCGTCACAGTCATGAACTTGCAGCGTTTTTCAGTAGCATTTAATCCTCGTTAAATACTTTCTGTGAAAAGTGAGCCAGATTCACTCTCCGATCCCACAAGAAATATTTCTCCCTAGTGCCGAACCCCAGTACACAGAGAAGTTATTAGCTGATTTTTAGGTCTGACAACGGCTCCACAGTGATTTAGAAATGTCATTACACTGCGGGTAATAAACCTAAGTTGAAACTTTCTCTGGACTTCTGGACTTAATGACAGAGAAAAGGAGAAACGGAACAGTAAATGTTGCTCTTTTGTTCAGGAGGCCTTTTAACTGGAGCCTGCAATCAGCAAAAATACGTGATTTTTTTCCTTTCAGAGCCTTGACACATTTCTATTACACCTCAGCGCTAATTCCTGAGTCTCAATTTTCCTTTGTCCAGAGGGTCTTTTGTTTCCACAAAGGAAAACTAACACCGTGTTCGCCATTAACTTTTAGGTGGCCATTCAGTATTTTCTTCAGTTAACATTGGCTCCATGAATACTACACACTTGCTGCTTTGAGACCTGTGATGGCTTCTTCTGGAGCTGGAGAAAACCGAGCGAGGTCCCGGCTGTGTGCAGCAGCTGCAGCGACATGGAGTCAGGTAGAGGTACACGAAGATGGACAACAAGGACAACATACAGGCTATCAAGGTTGTGTAGCCTGTGTTGAATGTTTCAGTTTGTGGCAACACCACCGTCACATTCACCTCCCGGGTCGCATTTAGTGCGTGTTTCATATCCTGAGCTGTGCACACGTACAAACCCGAGTCATTGATCTTGGTTGCTTGAATATCCAAGGTACCGTTGGGAAACAAGCTCATTAGAGTGTCATTTATGCTCGTCTGGGTTATGTACCCCGTGCTGGGGGTGAGCCATGCAAATGAGAGGTCTCTGCTACTCAGGGATGTTTCGCAGTCTAGACGCACCATTTCTCCCTCTGTCACCGTCAGCTTAGACAGGAACACAGTCACCGGGAGTGACATGGGTTTTTCCACTGTGCAGTTACGGAAGAAGCGGGGTTGTCGCAGGAACCGCACGAACGATCGTGTGTTCCCATAGATGGTGCAAGTGTGCTCCTCCGTAAAGTCCCTCAGTGTTTCGTAACCCCTAAGATCCCAATGCCAGAAAACGCTGTACATGGAGCAGTCACAGATCAGAGAGTTGTTGTGGAGGTACAGCCCCCGCTGCACCAGCATGGGCAAAGCTTTCACATCCACCCATGGCAGACGACTCAAACGGTTGGACGAGAGATCCAGCATGGACATGAAAGGGTGACTATGGTCTGTGATGGAGAAGAAAGGGAAGTATGTGATCTGGTTCAGGCTGAAGTAGGCCTTTTTTAAACTGCTGAGGCCATTCAACATCCCAGCCTCCAACTGTGTGATCTTATTATTGAAGAGAAGGAGCTCCTCCAGCTTCCACAGCCCCTGGAAGTAGTGTTGCTCCACCACACGCAGCTTGTTGGAGGACAGGTCAAGGTACCTGAGGCTGGAGGCATTTGTAAACACGCCCTCGTCCAGGGAGACAAGCTCGTTGTGGGTCAATAGGAGTTTTTCCAATTTGGGCATCTTTTTGAAACTGCCCACACCCAGCCAGGACAGATAGTTGTGGCTGAGGTCGAGGATGACAGAGTAGGTCGGCAGGGACTGAGGAAGCTTGGTCAGGCCACAGGAGCTGCAGCCCGCTGTGTCGGATACACAGATGCACATGGGGGGACAGACTCCCTCAGAGCCGTGAAGCAGACAGATCAGCACCAGCAGAGGATACAGTCTGAAGGTCATCTTTGTGGAAGCCTGATCCTTCGAGGTTTCTAATCCCTCCGGCTCTCCCTGGTCAGATAAGAATCAAATCAGAAACAAAAAAGACTGTACAGTCAGGATAGAATCTTTTAAAGGTGAACACCTTCACTTACAATGGAAGTTTCTGCTCTTTGGTTCCCACCTCTGACAAAACATACAGATCTGTAAACTCTCAACTCTTTAAAGTCTGGGTAGCATCAGCACATATCTTTCTTTCTTTGAAATAAGTATAGTTGCTTTTGTACTTGCGTTTTGTAACTGCTTTCACTTTATAATGTTTCATTTATATGCTTTTTGATTTTGCGTGTCTTGCCCTATGTTGTTGTTTTTATTTTACATCTGCAGAAATAATTGCCCTATATTATATAATTGGGAAAAAGAACATGAACAGAATGAATACACTATTTTGGTGCAGTAGTCATTGGAGGGTTGCAACAAAAGGCACATTTGTATCAGTCTACAAAATGTCAGAAGATTGAGTGAGAAGCACACGAGAATCGTGGCCTTTCTATTACTTTAAAAAATATTTAAAATAAATGTCATCATCAAAATAGTTGCAAATTGACACCCTGTTGCATGACTCAACACTTTAAATAATTGTCAAGTAGGAAACTTTTTTAAGCACAGATAGAAAAACCTCACCTTTTTAGAAGTATGTTTCTTCTCGGTTATTATCAGGTGAAGTTGAAGGCTCTCAGAGACAATTCAAACTGATTTTCCGCCACTGACTTGCAAGTCTGTATGAATTTGAAGGCAGAAAGGGGAAAAGTTCATACCACTTTCAGACGAGTGAGCTATTTGGCACACTCACTTAATCCCATTCTCCCCTCCAAGAAAAAGAAGAAAAACACTTCAAACCACACAACCAAAGTAGACTACTTAGCGACAACATGAGGCTCCAACTTTCTGCGCTTCTTGGAAGTTATCCCGTCATGAATACCCAGAACATTGCTGTCTAATCCTTATCTTCTACTAAGGTCCTCCTCCCCAGACACTCGAGTAAAATGCTTTCGCGTTTCTCTCCAGCCAAGTTTAAGGTCTCCCTACTGGGTTTGTCTTCGTCCCAAATGAGAGTGCCGCTAAACTAACATCCTGCAGTGGTTTTCAGTGTACAACAAACAGAGCTCACTTAATCTCCCACAATCCCCTCCTCCTTCTCTGTGACATTTTAAAACCAGCCTTGTGTCTCCCCCTGTCATCATTAAGTAATGATTCTGATGGCTGCCCTTCCTTCTCTCTATTTATTATTTGTACCTCTATTGCCAAAAACTGTTTATCTCAGTTTAACATGACTACTTTTTAGGGTTTCACTTGATTACAGATTAGTAGAACCTAGGAGCTTTCCTCATGAATCCTACATGCGTCATCCCGTAACCTTCCACCAATAATCCCAGAGGACTGGAATTTAGCTATGCCCTCAAAATGTTATACTTTTTTGTGTGTATGCAGTCCTGCCTGGATGTCAGTTTACTTATCATTGCAAATACACCTGTTATTGTGAGTTCTTTAATTCGGCAAATCCTGTCCATCCCTTTCCATCTCTCTGTGTATTTTGTCAGCTCCTGTGTTGAATGTCTTCCTGACTGTGAAAGTCTCTCTTTACCTGTGTGCCTCCATACCATGTTGATTCTATTTCAGGGGTTTCTGAGTGGATGGATGTTGCATACCCCGATGCCTAGAACACACCCACACACACCCACATATACACACACAAACACTCTCTTTCTCTATCTCTAAGAGCCTTAATCAGTACATCCCCCCCCCTTTATTTTCTGAGCCCCCGACAGCCGACATCCCTGCTTCCCCCTGGCTGTGGGTTTGACTGGATATAGCTGTCCATGCTGCTTGGTCATGGTGGCCCTGACAGCTCTGATTTCTGTCACAGTAAATTAGCTTTGCCTCTCAGCTGCCACCCCCTCACTGCTACCCCCAAAACTCCACACCCCTCCCTATAAGTGCTTGGGGCTTTGACTGACTCCCACTCATTCACTCACTTACTGTGCAGAAGCACATAGCCGATTCCCCATGGATTCAGGCGTGCTGGATGTGGTTCACTTCTCAAAAGCGAACAGATGTGCAGTCCACAGGAAGATGTATGCTGGAAGGTGCAAAGGCTTCAGTCTGAGATCACTTTGAAATGTCCCTCCACGTGTTTATGAATATAATTAAGGATCAGAAATCACATGAATGTTTTTGTGTCGATAGGAAAAAAACACCACCAGATTTGGCATTGTGACATTACACACAATCTTATCCCAAGGCTAGTCATCAGCTTGGCTGCTACATGTAAGAAATATATACACCCACACATGTACATCAGAGATATGTTAGAAAATGATTCTTAGCAGGCCCTTCTTGTAGGTGTTATGTTTATGTGGGCTTATCATGGCTCAAATAGCCTCGAAGTAATTTGTCTCTTTTCCTGGGAATTTGTTTTACTGTAAAGTCAACCTTGGTCTGAGTTTTTAAACGTGCAGGTTTCATTGCTTTAAGGTATTATGTTACATTCCTGTTTGTACAGTATGCTCACATATGAAGTCCCTAATTGTAAATGCATCACACTAACATATAAACCAGTCGTTCCTTCTGCATAAACTGGTGATGATTCATGTTTCTGTATGCTCAGAAGAATAAAAGCATTTGAATAAGGTGCATCATTGTGCCAGCATGATTCCAGTATTCATTTTTAGCTACAGTATAATTGCGCGCGGAGCATATCATTTTTCTCAGGCAGCCCTTGTTTCTCTGCTGTTGACATAACAATGGCATACTGGAACATTTCAGTGCCTCATTATTTTTGGTATTGACTTTCTTTCTGTAAAGGCTCCGTCGTTTTCGAGTCCAATAATTTATCAGTGTCCTCGGAGGTCAATTGAATCAAAGCATGAACAGGTAAACAAGACAGAGATAGTCGTTTTTCTGTGCAGATTTCAATTCCTTTTAATTGCAAGACAATTATTTGGCATTTGACTGCTGATTGCCTCTTGTCATACAGTATTAGTGTGTGTGTAGTTTAACAGAATGAGGTCCTCTGAGAATGTCAATATTAACGCCTTCTTTATCTATTCCCGCTTTTCTCACTGGGGCGACTAAACATCTCTCTGTGAGTCTCGTTTTTCTCTGCATGCTCCTGAGTACAGACTGGACTGTGTGTCTACAGCCCGCTGCTTTGTAAAATCCCTAATCTAATCAGTATCCTTGTATCAAGCTGTTTTGCAAATCCCGCCCCCTTCTTTCGCATATATTTGATTAGACTCAGCGTATGCAAAACAGTCTTGTCAAATCGTCCAGGTTCACAGTGGACCTCAAAGCTTAAGCCCTCACCCTGATGCATCCGGCCCCCAGCAGAAAGTGATTTTCTCTTCACCATCTGCTGCAGAGGAGAGAAGAAAAAAAAATCTGAAACGCACCACAGCAAAGAAATGTCTGCAAGACGAGTCTCGCCGACCGTTGAGAAAATGGTTAAGCTTCCTACAAGACAATAATATACCGCGTTATGTGCTCAGATGTATGCAGAATGTTTTTTGTACGAAGCACTGAAATGAAGGGTAGGCTATGCATACAGTATTTAAGTCTTTAGTTTGTACACTTTAAATATGCCTGCTCATAAAGACCAAGTCTTAAAATAATAATAATAATAACATTTATATTAGTTGAATAGGCTACCATCTAGCTGTGTCTTTTAATAAAATACTGTAGCCTAATGTGATTTTGAAAAGAAATAAATTAAACATCTAATCTTTTCATTATTGCAAAGTATGTTTGCAAAGTGATGCATGGTGCACCCACTGTAATATCCAACGTTAAAAGCAACTGTAGCTGAAGTGTTTCCATAGCGTCTGTCTGCCACTTCTGAACCCTTGAACCTCAACATACACACCCTTTTGTTAAGTGTTTTTCCTGCTTTTGAACGGCTTTTTGTTAGCACGGCTGACAGCCAGACTCAAATAAGAATGAGTCAGTGACTGTTTAAAGATTCGGAGGATTGACTTTTATTTCATTTCTCTCTGCAGTTGAATTTGCAGTCTGGATGAGCTCTCTGTTGAGAAGCAGTTTCAGACACGATTGTTTGCTTGTCACATGAAGCGGCTCTACTGCGCCATATGCTGTGTATTCATAGTGGTTGCACTGCATTATTGAAGAAAGCCTCACTCAAAACCCCAAACACCTGGTGTGAAAGCGGTTTTATGTGTTAGATAATGCTAGATGACAATATGAGTCTCTAGCTAGAGCTTTGCTCCATACAACCCTTCTGGTGGATGTAGCGCTCTGTAAGTGTGAAGAGACAAGCACACCATCTAGTGGTGTAGGACTCAACTGGAACAGTGACGCATCCGGTGCACTCCATCAATTCCACTTTCACTATTACTGGTGCTCAAGGCCAGAGTGGGACCTATTATCATCCCGAGTGTTATGCTTCTGACTAGATATGACTAGAGCTTTACATTGCAAGTATGCTCCTCGCACTATAGGCTACTCTACAACCATCTCATTTGCGATGCATTTTTCATACATCATAAACATTACAAATGCAAAGCCCCCCGCCCCCCTACACTTCTTTATCATTGAACTGCTGTGGCTTACCGTCAGCAGCAAACTAGTCTATGCTGCTACTAATTAGGGACTACAAGGTGGCATCACAACATATGTCTTTGATAAAGTAAAGGGCTTATTTTTCGAATTCTTACCATAACACTTCACACTTCCTTGATTCATCTTGCATTGTAGCCTTAGCTAGCATACCTGTCGCCATCATACATTTCTGTTGTTTGTTCAATAACTTTATTTACAAGCCGCAAACCCTTTCTCACTCGTCCTGCTTCCTTGGATTCCTTGAGTATAGCCTGATTTCTTAAGCACATTTTTACACTTTGGTTTTTGTATATATTTTATATGATATAACGTAATAGTGAGGTAGAAACGTTGTTTTTGACATTCACATGTATGAAGGGCTAGCTGTTCGCTGTTTCAAGTCTTTATAG